TTTTCTTTGATTATTAACATGAAATAGATAAGAGAGAATTCCTTAAATAGGAGTAAAAAAGTTTTGAAATTCCAAAATAGGAGTATCATGTTTTTTATTCCTTGAATAAGAGTAAATTTCTGCCAAGTTTGGTATTACTAGGCTTTAAAACATGTCATTTTTTACCAAACTTGGCAGAATACTCCTATTCAGAGAACAAAAAACATGTACTCCTTTTTGGAATTTTAAAACGTTTTTGCTCCTATTTAGAGCAACTTATGACATCAACACTCACTGCTCTTTCATCTCTAAACTCATATGTAACTGTTCAACATCCATCACTCACTTCCTCCATGCATATTAGAATACAACGGCACACTAGGTCAGCAAACACCACCATAACTAGAAACTTAATCTTTTGGGAAAAAATAAAATGGATTTTATCCCATCAGATGCATAAAGATGAGAGTTTTATATGAACATGTTATCTTGGAAGGAAAAAAACTAAATCAACCTTTAGAATGTTTCCTTCTTGATTAACATGAGATGCACCATGGCTGTCTAATTGTCTTATGAACGAAAAGTATCACCATCAGGGATGGATTTAAGGGGGCGCCGGGGCGGTCGCCCCCTTGGACTTTCAAATTTTTCTACTATATATATAATATTTTCATAAAATTTTTGTACTTTAATTAGATATATATGTGTCCGCCCCCTTTAACTTTTAGCTTTCAAAATTAATATATAGCCATACATTATGTAAATACTTAATTGGAGAGTTAAAGATGAAACATCTAAAATAATTTACATAACTTACACAAATAAACAATAGAACAGCTCATTGTTTAAGACTTAGGATACCTATTATATAAAAAAACATAGTTTTGAAATGTTTAATTATCTTTAATTAATTAGATAATTAGTACGTACTCAATTTGTAAAATATCAAACAATATTAAATATGAGAGACACTAGTTAAACAGTTTTTAGATCATGTGAAGTGAATTTAAAAATACACAATTCATTTACTTCTTACTTTTTAAAAGTAACTTATTGCACAGATAATAAAGTTTAACTTATTTTAGGCATTAATACAAATTTAATATGCACCCTATGTAAGAATGGGAAAAGGGGCAAATAAGCTTTGGAACTAACTGAAAAAGTGCAAATCACCCCTTTTATAGAAGGCTCTGTCCGACCGTCGCCATTTGGGGCAGTTACCGGTGGAATTCTTTGATGAATTTTTTTGAACAGCTTCTTCATTAAGTCTAGTTTACTCATACCAAATTTCAGTTAAAAATGCAATCGAGAAGGCAGTCAAATAAATGTTTGAAGATAACTATGCAGTTAAACAGCGCAGTATATTTCAAAAAATCATTTGACTGCTTTCCCGATTGAATTTTTAGCTGAAATTTGGTATGAGTAAACTGGACTTAATGAAGAAGATGATCAAACTAAATCATCAAAAAATTCCACCGGGTACCTCCCCAAATGGCAACGGCCGGCTGGACATAGCCTCCTATAAAAGAGGTGATTTGCACTTTTTCGGATAGTTCGAGGGCTTATTTGCAGCTTTTCCCTATAAGAATTAGCAATATAATATTATTCTAAAAATAATAATCTCAAACATAGTATTGTAATATTAGCAAAACTCCTTATAATTCACCAACATCCTTCTTGGTAAACAGAATTTGTAATTCAAAAATCAATTCCTTGTACCGATCGATAAGATTCATGTGATTAAACATGACAAAAGTTATTTAAAAAACATTGGTGGTTGTGCAGCTTTTAAACTCTTTACTTTCAAATAATTTGATAAAATGTTATATATTCTCTTTTATTTTCAAATAATTTATCTTTGATTTGCTATTTCTTACGCTTTAATGTATCAATACTTTTTTCTAAAGCAATTACAATTATAAAATCAAAGTTATTTTTCCATTGTCTAAACTTAGAATGTAATATATTTAAATGCATCATGTATGTACCTATGAATTCTTTTTGAATATAAATTAGCCTCAAAGCCTTACACTCTTGAAAAAAATCGCCCTGCAACACTAGCGAAAAAAGTTTTGCTTTAATACACTAGCGCAAAAAAAATCACCCACTACACTAATGAAAAAAATTCACCCGTCTTGACTCGAAGTCCTGGATCCGTCCTGTGATACTATACGCAGTTTGCAAGCAGAATGAGATTTTTTGCAGATCATTTTTCTACCTCCCGTTTAAAATTCAAGTTGAATCACTACAACGTTATGAAAGAAACTAAAGAACCTGCAAGCAAAGCCAATAGAACCCATATACCATAATCATTTTTATACTTTCAATTCAAAATTCATGTTCATATTTATTAGCCACAATCAATAATGAAAAAATATTGACATCTCATTATCTAGGTGATGGATTATAGGGATCCAAACTTATATAATTAGGAGAGATTTGAGCTATGAATGGAGAAGAAATGAAGTGTATTGGAAGTATAATATTGATTCTAGGGTTACAAGTGGCTCCAAGAGGAGTATAAATAGAGAAATAATGGGTCGGGTCGTTATTATGGGCCCGACAAGTCCAACTACATAAAAGACTAATATAGTACATACAAATGATATATGAACAGTACAATAACACAAATGATATAAATGACGTCCGATAAGCACTAGTGGGTCGTGAGACCCGGGGGTCCGAGTCTATATACTCTATCACTAGGTAAACATTTACAATAAACATTCAATCAAAAAATTATAAAACAATAGCTCTGTTGATCATTGAAAAGGTGCAATCGTTCTGTTAATAGTTTCAGGCAAGAAATGAGAATTTGTGAATCTTAGTCCTTGTGCCAATCCTGATTCTTGATTCTCAACTTTAGATGATTACATTTTATCGGTCCACTAAATTCTACTTGCAATCAAATTAAGACTAATCAAATAAGTTATTTCCTCAAGTGTGAAGCCAAAGAACCGGTGATTGTTTTTCAAGAAAACCAAACTTAGGCTACCTTTGAGTTAAAAATGCTTTCAAATATAGCCAATGCATAACTCTCGTAGTGGGCGTCCCACTTCTGTTATAAGTCTAAGTATAATTTTTTCATGAATAAGTTTAAGGATATTTGGGATTATTAACTTGACCATTCATGACTCTTGTGGGGCAAAATACATCTAGCTCACAACTGAATTCTTGCAATTGAGATTCATAATCACGTCAAATGCAACTTGAGTTTCTACACACTCATATTAGGAGTGGACTCGGGCCGGTTCGGGCCCGGTTCGGGCCTGGGCCCGGCCGGGCCTCGGTTCAAGAAGGGGAGGCCCGGAACCGGCCCGGGTAAACCCCGGGTCCGGGCCGGGCCGGGCCTCGGGTATTTTTTTTTTTGGGGGGCTTTTCCTAGTTAACCCCCACCCCTCCCCCTCACCCCCAAACCAACCCTAACCACCTCAAATGGCCCAAAATAACCAGCCCAACCCAAAAACTCAAAAAAAATTCAAAAAAAAATTAAAATTGGCCCGGCCCGGGCCCGAACCGGCCGGGCCGGTTCACCTTTTGAAGGGCCCGAGCCCGAACCGAGAATCCACCGGGCCGGGTGACCCGAACCGCCCAACGAACCGGTTCCCGGGCCGGTCCGGGCCCGCACAGTGGCGGGCCGGTCCGGTTCCGGGCCGGTTGGCCCGGCCCGAGTCCACCCCTAACTCATATATCATATATGTAAGCAAGTCAAAGTAACCAAACACAATTCAATGTCTACACGTACTTTACAAAATCAAATACTCTCACTGTCCCTTAAAACTTTGTCATCTTTTCTTTTTAGGACGTCCCAAAAAACTTTGTCACTTTCCCTTTTAATCAATTATTTTGTGGTTTCTGTTATTTCTCTCTCCTCTGCACAAACCTCAACCATACAGTTTTTACTTTATTATTTTCCGTGCCGGTCAACTTTTGCAAAGTGTTAAGGGACAGAGGTAGTATGATGACAATTCACTTTTTGTAATCTTCAGTGTGAGAAGTGATTTTATCACATATTAAATATGATTCAAAATGCCACCCAAAGTTCTGATATGATTCAAAACAAAACAAAACAAAAACCTATAAAACATTTATCTTCTCTATTGGATCGGAATCCAAATGTGGAGCTTATCATATGACTCGTTAATGGGCTGATCCTTCACGGGCCAGTCCATCTTGGTTACTTGATTTTGTGATACGAGTCGGAGCCTGTCACGTGCCATTTTTGGATGACTCCTCACCATAAAATTCTCTCTCCTCACCTGCATCCCTCGGGGGTGGGGGTGGGGGGTTTGAATGGTAGCGACACTATTTTATCGATCTGATTAGCCTAATTACTTCCTCTAGAAATCCTAAACTCATACCAAAAAATTATATGCTTGTCACCAGTTTTGACGGGAAAAATAAAAATAAAGTACTGAACGAAAACATAAAAATTGAAACATGAAAGTAATTAAAAGAAACTTCCAAACTCTAGTTGGTCATTTATTTTATGGCAACGGTTCGGGAGGAGGACGAACCAATAGCACTTCACCTTCTCCTCCAAGACTAACCAATAGCACTTCACCAATAGCAATTCATCCTCTTCTTCCATCTCCATTCCCGCATAACCTTGAGCCAACACATCTATCTCCTTTTGCCCTTGGAATGGATGCCCCTCCTCCATCGATGCCATCCTCCTCAACCCGTACAACTGTAGAACCTGCAAATAAAGCTCTCCTCTAATCCGCATAATTGTTGTACTATGTGTTGTTGCTAGCGTACTCAAGGGCAAACATCGTTTCGATACTCGGTCGAGACCATAACAGTACTATCGGACGAAGCGGCAATAGCCACTGCTGTAAAAAAAATAAAACCCTAGAGAAAACCTAGATACTCGTCCACTCTTTGTAGAGAAAGGATTATTCGGCAATTTTTTTATTTGTTAATCAATCTGAGAGTTACCTTGTCCATGTGCATCAATTAGAATATTGCAAATTAAACAATGTAAATATTAACAAATAATGAAATAAAGGTTTGGATCAATTAAATGTATTGTAGATACCGTACCCTTATTTATTTTATGAGGTTTCATAGCACTCAACAGTCAACATTATGGCAAATTAAGATATAAAGACAATTAAATTCTCTTATTCATTCATACATGATTATTTTTTGTACAAAGAAATATTTAAGTTTGGCTCTTCTAAGACAGAAATTTTGACACCAACCAGGCAGTCATATTTTAAATTGGACTTGGCAAACTTCAAAGTGCCCAGCAATTCCAGCATGAGTGTTCAAGACTTTCCAATATATATGTTCCACTTTCACAATTTGGTTTGTTTTAAAATTTTGAAGACTTGGATCATGAGATAGGGACATCCCTGCAGAGATAAAGGTAATCTCGGAGGAAACGGTTTAGTATGGAACAGGAACTCGGATGGTGGCCGGACCTGACTTCATGTCCTCCAAGATGAGATTTCGTAAAGCTTGAGTTACTGGACCTTCTTTACCTACAAGAAGAAAAATAAGATACTGGTTCACATAAAAGAGTTTAAAGTACCCCTTACCTGCCAAATATAAAGATACAAACTCTGATATAAGACCTTGAACTACTATTCTTATCTAACTTTTTAAAATGGCACCTAAAGTTTATAAGAGTGCAAAATGGAAGTGAAAAAACTCAAATGCTTACCATCACCTATGATCTGGTCATCCCACTGCACCACTGGATGGACTATAACACCACTGCCAATTAACATCATCTCCCTTGCACTCTTTCCCTCATCAACAGACACATTACTTAGTCTAATGGAGCGTAATATACCGTCTTTTACCAAAGCTTGAGCATGTACTAAAGCCCGTTTAGCGGTAAGCCCGCTAAGAATGTTCTTAAAGTCAGGCATCAAAAGCTCCTTTTCCTTGGTCACAAAAGCGACATTCATTGTCGGTCCCTCAGCAATAAACCCGTCTCCATCTAACCATATCCCGGTAAATGCACCCTTCTCTTCTCCTTGCATCTTCAAAAGCACATTAGGAAGATAGTTCACACTCTTCATCACAGCAAACTGTGGAGGTTTTATTGGGATGGATGATGTTATTACTTTAACACCCTCGTGATTTGATGGTGATTGCTTTTGTATTACAATAGCATAAAGAGCTGATTGGTGGCAACCTGATGGTGATACTTGAAAATCGCCCGGTCCTGTAGAAAGCCAATATCTTAGTGAACCTTTTCTGCACTTGGAAGCACTTACTGTCTGGATGAGTATCCTCCTGATGCATTCTTTATCAAAGGGAGGTTTTATTTTGGCCATGGCTGCAGATCTCAGCAACCGCTCAATGTGTTCATCCAGCTCGTAAAGATGCCTAAAATACAAGAATATTTATACGAAAAAAGAATTTGTCAGGGAAATTAAAATAAAACATAAAAAGTATGTTAATGTTTTAAGCTTTGACTCCTACAAATCAAAATTTTCAAATCCCTCCCTAATACATTTCTGTCTCCGCCATGTCATTGGTGTGAGTTTCTGAAATGGATCTAGAAGCAGGAACATAATAAATACAGTGTCTGTCATTCTTCATATGTCATTCTTTAATTACCACTTCTGGGATTTTGTGGGATACTAATATAACCAAACTAAAAAATTGCTACGCATTGGACTAAATATAAGTGATTATCCTTAATAGGACTAAATAGAAACAACATTGCACAAATAGGACTAAAACCTAAATCTTTCACAAATAGGACTAAATATTAATTTTCTACCCTTAATACCCCAAATCTAATTAATTAATTGTCCCCATCCGTTCCCTTGGGCAACCAGGGCAGTTCATTGGTGGGGCGGCAGTCCAGTGGTGGCGCCAGTGAACGGCGGCGGCTGACAGTTTGGGGCCAATAAAAATTCTGAATTTATTTTTTGCCCAGCCGGAGCTCAGGCGGCGGCGGTGGCAACCGGAGGTGACCGGCGGCGGTAGGAATCCGGCGGTGGCAGGGGCAAGGGGCATGTGGTGGCAAGGACATTTTTGTCCAATCACCAATAAGTCCTCCTTTAGTCCTCCTTTAATATGTAATTCACTCCTTTAAATAGGAAGTCTCTTTCAGACACTTAAATGTATTGATATATCGAGTTGAGTAAGCTGACAGGAACACCACAACTACTCCAACCTAATAAAAAATTCGATTTTATAATAAGACAAGAGAACAACTCGTGACACTTACGGGCAGCGATGACATGACATTACTGGACCACATGCAATAAGATCAAAATTTCTGCCTATAACCAAGCATTCCAGCTCGCTGGATGGGAGGTTACCCAGGTCTAGTGGAGGTCTCGAGTTCGAAATCCGCTAGGCACAAATAGCGGAGATGAGGGAGGTCTTGCTCCCAATGACTCCAGGATTACGGGAGTGCAAGCACCGACACCTGAATCATCAAAAAAAAATCTGCCTATGATTATCCAAGGCACAAGGGCCCACACCAGCCTTAGCTTGGAGTGATATTCTTTTTTTGTTAACTAAGTGTCGTCTGTCGGAGCTTGCGCTTTCATAATCGTGGAGTTTATCAACTACCCCTAAAACCCCTAGATAAGTAAGTCTGGGTTTGATCACACTCATCTTTGTTGGTAGTGGCTTTAACGCCCCTTCCCGACCACCCCTCCATCCATACGCTATCTTCATTACCCTCATCTCCATCTTCGCCCCTCCATCCATACGCTATCTTCATTACCCTCATCTCCATCTTCTGCTGCTGAGCTATTCCAGAAACACTTTTAAAAGTTTTATATGACTATATGGTAATAAACAATTAAACATTAAACTATCTTTTGGTCAAACAAAAATGGATGCTCAAAAATGGAAATAAAAAATGCTACTGCGTACAAGTTAGTGAAAGCAAACACATTTTTTTTACTAACCCATCCATAATGGCAGCAGTATCAAAAACACCATGTCCTCTATGCACCATGTGGTCGTCCATGGGAATGACCATGGCAGCTGTATCAGTTACTATTCCTCCGAAAATGCTAGAATACATTGCCAGATATTGCTCCTTCTTTGGGTAACTCTCCCTACTTGCTCTTAGCCTCTCAATGGCCTGTAGAGAAGACCAATATATATCCCAGTCTCCCAGACAAGTGGCATGACTTGTTTGAATTCAAAAGGCAGCTCAACTGGTTATGATATCGGGTGCTTTGCACATGGCAGACGTTTAGTAGCGTGTAAAATAATTACTTTGCATGTGTAGGGATGTAAATTATATAGGACACTTTTAAAACATTGTGCACTCTATCATGTAAAGTAATTTAGGTGTGGGAGGGTGGTAAATATTTTCAATGCTTTTTATAAAGCACTTCAATGACTTTGCATGTGATTTAAAAGAAACTACGCACTCAATCGAACAAAGTGATTGCTTCTTAAGCTTTGCATTCGATCATTTTGCGTGCAAAATTATACTCCGTAATATATAAACGAACAAAGTGATTGCTTCTTAAGCTTTGCATTCGATCATTTTGCGTGCAAAATTATAATATATAAACTACCGAACGAGCTCTAAAGTGCCACAGAAATAACTTTGCATGTAAAATATGAATATGTTATACACTTATACCATAGGTACGTTGTGTAACATTTTTAAGTTAGAGGCAGAGTATTTACATTATTTCATACGGAGTATATATTAATCATGTAAAACGCTCTACCACACTCCCTAGAGTAAACCATTTTAAATGGAATACTGCACAGTTTTTAAAGAGTTTTATTTTGAGTAATTGCAAACTCTTTGTTTCCCTGCATTTTGCTTCAAGATAGATTCGTCTCAAGATGATTTAGGCACCAATGATTATAAAGAAAAAGATCAAGATAGAATGGATTCTTACTTTCTTCAACCATTTATCCATCTCAATTCTCAACATGAAAAAAAGGGTAAGGGCGTTAGGCAGACCTCATAGCAGGACAGAAGTGTGACATCTGCAGATGATTGAGAAGCTTGTGCCTTTGCAATAATTCCTGAAACAAAAATACATTTTAAAATAAATCTTATACCACCTCCTCCTTTAAAACAACTTTTTACTTTAATATTCCTTGATTTTGCCGTCACAAAATAAACTTTCTATTTCCAAAAAAATTGTTTTGTTTGTTTTTTACATAACAAAAATTTAGTCTTACCCCATTCTGATTCTATGTGTGATTTTGCTGCACTGGGTTAATGATAATGAATTATATATACTTTTACACTACAGTGATCAGTGATCACGATGTTACACAGTAACTTTAGTCACATGCTTATCCATTAATTTAATTTCATTAATATTTAGGGAAAATCTCATAAGATATAATTGGAAATTCAAAGAAAAACTGTATTCTTGGTCCAAAAGGTGGAATCTCCCATCCCAGGAGCCCCATACCCCGAGACAGAATTTGTGGGAGGACGTTGATAAAGAAGTTGTTTTGGAAACAGTATCTTAATTAAACAAGTGTAATAAACAGAAATACAGTAGTGTAAAATGCTCCAAATTACTCTTTGAAAAATCTATTCTTTCTACTTTTGAGAAATCATTTCCGGAACACCCATTCTGATTCTATTTTTACTTTTCAAAAGAGCTATTCTACTACTTTTTAACAAAGAACAAACGCAAAATCATTTCCGAATAACAATAGATGTTTAAAATGAGTTACCCGGAGAAGTTTGGATCTGATTTGAATGAAGGGAAGTGGATAATCGAATGAACGTGGATGAGGTAGATGTAGGATTGGCGACTGAAAATCGTGGAAGTGCAAGATTGCTGGGGAACAAAAGGAAAAAAGTGGGATTTTTGGGGGTTCGTGAAATGGGTTTCGAGAGAGAGGAGAAGGAAGCCATTTCTGCCTGCTTTGTATTGCTTCACTTGCATTCACTCCACGCCAGTGAAGAAGTAGTGTGACAGTTGTATTACACGACCGCATACTACACAATTTAGAGGTGGGCATTTCGGTTTTCGGTTCGGTTTTCTTCGGTTTCGGTTCGGTTTCGGTTTAATCGGTTTGATAGAAAATGTACCAAATACAAACCGATTAAGTTTCGGTTTGGTTTCGGTTTGGTACGGTTCGGTTCGGTTTACCAAAGTATTGAGGTTTGGATTGAAAAAAAATTAACTCAAAATAATGAACCAAGAAGCGATAGTAATGAACCAAATATAATGCTAGATATAAATTTGCAAATAGTAACAAAACACATATGAACTAAAAATATATAAGCATGACACATTTGTAAGCAACAACAACAACGTAACGTGAATGAATCAAATTATATATAAAGCCAAAACAAAAATAAAACTGGTGCTTGTAAGTAATGAACCAGATATATAGTAGTAACGGGTAATAAATTATAGTTAAATACTATCTACTTAAATCACTATAATTGTTATAGTTGTGAATGTAACTCTTGTAGTAAACTCTAGACCTGGACATTAAAATTGAAGAATTAAAGCCTCAAAAAGATTAACATCAATCAAATTAATGTGAGAAATCCTATATTTTGTTTGGTTTAGTTTGGTGTAAGTTGATTTTGATTTGTTATTTTAAAAAAATAAGAAATTATTTCATTTTTAGATTAGTTCGGTTTTATTCGGTTTTATTCTGTTTTATGATTTCGGATCGGTTTGGTTCGGTTTAATACGGTTTGGGAGGAATACTACCAAACTCAAACCAAACTACAAATGGTTCGGTTTCGGTTCGGTTTAATTCGGTTCGGTACGGTTCGGTTCGGTCAAACCGAACCGTTATGCCCACCCCTACTACACATCACAGAGGTTATGCAAAAAGGAAGACCCCCCATCTCTGATGGCCCCAACCCGACAGGACAGTACGATATAAGTTGGACTATAATCTTAATTTGACAGATAGAGAGTGAGGCTCTATCCCCGGTACTTGCAGAGACCCTATGCATTTTTAGCATAATAACCCCTCATCGCAGTTGCCGGGATTCGAACCCGGGACCTAACCCTTGTGGCACTCCTTTCCTACCAGTTGAGCTACTCTCACCGGTACAGACACAAAGGTTATGCAGTCTCCACTCTCTGGTAGGGGTGAGCATAGGACGGTACGGCCAAAAATGCCTAGTGTACACGCCGATTTACACGGCCGTGTACACCAAATAAAAAGTCTCACCCCCCTTTCTAACCCACTCTAGTTTTGAATTAATCCTCCCCACTCCCCTTCCATGTGCATATTGTTTCAAAAAAAACGCCAGCCGTTTTTCCGACTCCCCTCCCCACTCCTCTTTCCCCACTCCCCTCCCCACTCCTCTTTCCCGACTCCCCACAAACCAGAGAACCCCAACAATCGAAGCCGCAGAGCCCAGCCCTCCCTCTCCGTTTCTCTTCCTCAATCGAAGCCACACAACCCTCCCTCTCCGTTTCTCCTCCTCAATTGAATTCACACAGCCTTCCCCTTCGGCGTTGTTCTCCGTTCGTTTCAGTGACGAAACCTAACAAACTGAAGGAAATCCAACAGCCCTCCCCTTCGGCGTCGTTCTCCGTTCTCCAGTCGCAAGTCACAACTTCCCCCGTCCAGCCGTCGTCTCCAAAACTCCACTACAATGGTGTGCACTTCGCTGACTCAACTGGCAGCAAGGTAAAGATCTACAAAATGCACTTCATAATGAACTCTTAATACTTATCCACACATAAAATGTGTGTGGGGTTAACGTGTCTGTGTGGCTGTTGTTGAGATGTCTGTATGGTTTGTATATTTTTGCGAAGACCAAACCTGTCTGTATGACTTTTGTTGAGATGTCTATACAGTGTGCAGGTGTATGTCTATTTGAAAAAATGGTTTCACCTTAGGTTATTGATGTACATGAGATGTTTGTGCCTCATTAGTTTTTTCCATGATTAATTGGGTTGTATTGATTGCTTGTTTTGTGCTTTTAAAGATGTTTGTATAGTGTGTTCTTATTCATGGGTTAAGGTGTTTGTGTGGCTGTTGTTGAGATGTCTGTATGGTTTGTTTGTATATTTTTGCAAAGTCCAAACCTGTCTGTATGACTTTTGTTGAGATGTCTGTATAGTGTGCAGGTGTATGTCTATCTGAAATAATGGTTTCACCTTAGGTTATTGATGTACATGAGATGTCTGTGCCTCATTAGTTTTTTCCATGATTAATTGGACTGTATTGGTTGCTTGTTTTGTGCTTTTAAAGATGTCTATATAGTGTGTTCTTATTCGTGGGTTAAGGTGTCTGTGTGGCTGTTGTTGAGATGTCTGTATGGTTTGTTTGTATATTTTTGTAAAGTCCAAACCTGTCTGTATGACTTTTGTTGAGATGTCTGTACAGTGTGCAGGTGCATGTCTATCTGATAAAAATGGTCTCACCTTAGGTTATTGATGTACATGAGATGTCTGTGTCTCATTAGTTTTTTCCATGATTCATTGGGTTGTATTGGTTGCTTGTTTTGTGCTTTTAAAGATGTCTGTATAATGTGTTCTTATTCGTGGGTTAAGGTGTCTGTGCGGCTGTTTTTGAGATGTCTGTATGGTTTGTTTGTATTGATGGATAGTCTACCCGGGGGTATATATCCGAAGGGTTATTGCGGGGAATAACTTAGAGAGAAGCCAGAGCAAGTAAATGTAGAGAGAGAGAGTGTATTATAAATGTGGAGCGTTTTCAGCGTGGTTACAAATGGGGAAATGGGGTGCTATTTATAGTAGCAATAAATGCCGGACAGGGACACGTGTCAAGCGCTCATTGGCCGAGGGGTCACCTCAACTGGTTGGCGCTGGCAGCCGCATGTGGCCGCATTTAATGCGGCTGTTGGATGGGACGTCTGTGCAGGGTACAGTGATCTGTACGCATGTGAGGCGGATATCTTGTCGAGTGAGATGCCTTCGGCTATAGAGCAATAGCCGAGGGCTCCTCCAACCGATGGCACCCTGGTGCCGAGGGCTCACAGTGCCGAGGGCTACTGTTTTCGCCGTTTTCTCCCAGTTTCTTAATTTGCTTGAGAAACCCGTTCTGTGAGAGTTTAGAGCCTTCGGCCAGGGGGTCGAAGGCACCCCTAGCGCGTAGTGCGGGCTGCTTGGTACTCTGGGCGCTGTGATCTGGGCCTGTCGGGCCTTCCGGGCCTGTTGGGCCTTCGCTGGAGTAGTAGGAGTCTGTGGGCCGGGGGTTCCCGGGCCATATACTCCATCAGGAGTCCCTCACTCCTTTTGCCGAAAGGTACTTGAGGGAAAAGGAGTAATTCGTGCTTGCCCTTTGACGTTGTCCTGTCGTAACCTCTGAAGTTGGTGAGGAGTTGTTGCTTTTATGTCCCTGCCGAAAGCAGTCCCTCAGTTACCCACATGTCGGGACTTGAGGGCTTGCTTTGTCGTTTGTTGGAATTTCACTAATTTTGTAATTTAATGATTTTCCCGAGGGGGTCCCTCCAGTCCCCCACTCCTTGAGGCACTTGTAAAGTGGTGAAAAGGAGTAGAGTAGTTACGTTTGCTGTTGTGGGCCGAAGGCTGACGCTTTTCGTTTCATTTTGGGGGGATGCCTCGTTAAAAACCTCATTAGAAAAAACCCTGGGGAAAAAAATCCTAATGAGGGAAAAAGAGTGCACCGAATTCCCCCAATGATGAATCGAAAATGTGAAACCATGGTCAAAAAATGGAGAACAACTGTAATGCCGAAGGCTCTTCCCTTTCTAAGGGCTCATGTGTTGATTAGCCGAAGGCTTGCTGTTGATGTCCTGGGGGCGCCGAAGGGGAGCCCCTCAATCCGGGGATCGAGGGCCTGCCGGATGAGGGCAGCAGTGGAGTTGTTACCGGGGGGTCCACTGTTTGTTGATTAGTTGGTGATGAAGATACCCGAGGGCTCCCATTACTTGTGTGCCATGGGTTATCCGTCAATGAGGCAACTCCCCGAGGGCTACCCGGTTTTGCAGTGCAGAGGGGGAATCCCCGAGGGGTGCCCTGATATGGAGCCTTGGGTTTCTGAAGGAGTGATTCCGAAGGCATCTGCTATGTGCTGTGTGGGGCACAACCCGGGGGCGTCTCTGGGTAAGTGTACCCGGAGGCTCTCCTTGAAGAAGAGGAGTGAAGTAGAAAATCCGGGGGCTTCCAGAATATAGCCGTTGGAAATATAGCCGTTGGAATATGTAACGACAGGATATAGCCGTTGGGGGGGCACACGTGGCGTGTGATGGCTGGCTGTCCGTGGGCGGCATCACTGGTTGGGTGAAGACGCGGTGTGTAATGATGGCGGTCCATCCGGAGGCCCGGAATCCAGGCCCAAGCCCGGATTCCAGCGCCTATAAATACCCCAAGGCCAGAGCCATTTCCTCTTGTGCGATCAGTTGTCTTAGCGAAGCTCTGCCAAAAATTCTAGTGAGAGAAACTCTAGCCTTCGGTCCAAAACTCAGCTTTCAAGGTCAGTGCCCTGCTCTCCTCTCAAAAAATTTTAGTAAGTTCCGCCCCCTGGCCTTAGATTAGGGTTAGAATCCTGTAGAAAACCTTCGAAATCTTAGGCACATTCGTGATAAACAATGTCGTCCGAGAGCGATTCCCAGGACATCTCGAGGACGCCCTCGGTGGAAGACGAAGGTATCTCCGATGTGGAGTCCAGTAGCAGTCAGCCCTCGGGTGGTGGTGATGCAGCTCTCGCCACCGAGATGCAGAAGGATTTGGTGGCCGAGGTCGAGGCGGAGGAGTTCGAGCGAACCGCCGAAGATGAGGAGCTAGCCCTCGTCGTCCAAGTTGCTGAGGAGGAAGAGGAAAAGGAGAGGGCGAAGGTTACCGTCGCTGTCCTCCCCCCCCCCCCCCCCCCCCCCCCCCCGGGGGGGTTCTGGGGAAGCAAGCAGCTCGAGGCCACTGGACCCGACGCCTTTAAGTGTAGCCCCCGGGAAGAAGAGGAGGAAGACGAAGGCTGGCCCCCAGAAGAAAGTAAAGGCCGTCGATCAAGGGGGACCAG